TGGAACATGCACCAGCCATTTTCCTTGGCATAAACAATAAAGCTGGTCCTGTTTGTATGCTGCATCCTGTGATTGTGCTGCTGTTACAGCTGTATCAGATGCGTCCAGTGGAAATATTGGGAAACTTTATTAGTTCCAGTAGGGAACTTGGGAGAAAGCCCAGACCTCATGCTCTAAATCGGCTTGTATGTCGCTATTGAATATCACACAACATTTTACAGGCTGCTCGATCGGGATTAGAGAGGATTAGTGACTGTCCCATGATCAGTTGTTCAGTTTTGTTAGACCCTGCTAAACTAACACTGTTTGGTGGGCGTGGCTTGCGCGCGTCCTCACGTCGACGGCTTGTACGTCATTGCGTCATTACGTCGAGTTCGATAAACGTCTTCGGTAAAGAGAGAGAGGGGGGTTGGAGGACCAGATTTAAAATATGAGATTATGACCGGGTCGCGTTTATAACCCAGACGACAGCGATCCATTTCGATCGCTCTTGGGTTTTTTAGCTGACTGAGGTGTATGAGGAGTGACGGAGAAAAGCGTTTTACCTTGATAAGGTAGCGAAGGAAGGGAAAGTAGAAAGGGGGCTGTTGCTGGATATTTGGAGAAGGAAAACAACATGGCCGCTGTGGAGCTGGAGTGGATCCCTGAGACCCTGTACAACACCGCTATATCAGCCGTAGTGGATAATTACAGTCGGTCGCGACGGGACATACGCTCACTTCCTGAAAATATCCAGTTTGACGTCTACTACAAGGTAAACATGAGGCGTTAATGAGTAGCACACAGAAGGACTTTTGACTAGCTAGTAGGTTAGCGTGGAAGCTTGTGTTATCGTTTACTTGGCTGGAAAGATTAGCTAACGTTCAACTAGCAAGTCTGGAAGTTTTTAAGCAATTCTGTCGATCTCCGATTGAAAAACGTAGCGTGTCTAACTAAATAGCAAGTGGATAGCTTAGACTGAAAACGTGTCAATTTATTAAAAGTGGTCTGTAGCGTTATACTGTAACACCTAGGAAGTGTAACGTTACTGAGAGTAAATATCAGTCATGTTAGCTACCTGGCGAGGCTGATGAGTTAACTTAGCTGCCTGCTGTCAGTGCGTCGATAATCGGTTTTGAGTGTATTGTATGTGGTTTAGTTATCAAATATAAAACTAATAATTGTCTCATGTTGTCATTACGTTGACGTGGATGCACGAGTTGAAGTGCTGACAGAGTTCATGCTTCTCACAGTCAACTTCACTCATGTCAGTATGAATAATAAAGAATGCCCACATTGAATAATATGAAAATTAAAATTGTAATTATATTCATGCATCAACAGATGGTCAGTTTCTTCAGCAGATTATTGTAGATTTAAAGTTAACCACTTCTCTTGCTGTGTATGGAAGTTACAATATATGCTGGATATAGATAAAACACTGTTACAGTGATAATCACACACACACACACACACACACACACACACACACACACACACCAGGTCCTATCAAATAAATTAAACCTGAACACTGAATTAAACCATTAGCCACATATTGATTCACTCATTTCCATTGCATTTGGTAAGGACCTGGGGTGTGTGTGTGTGTGTGTGTGTGTGTGTGTGTATGATTAATATTGTAAAGTATGGTGTGAGATGTTGGGTCAAGAGACCCTCAAGTTCTCCTCAGTGTCTGTGTTGGTGATGCCTGTAATTAAAACTAGATAAATATCACAATATATTAGTGTCACGATGCATTTCAGTACAGTGTTGTTAATTGGTAGTGTTTTTTATATAATCTGTCGTTAATAATTTTTTTTCCCTATCAGCCTAATTTCCCTTCAGTTTTCCTTTAAATGCTTTAAGTTTTGGACATGCAAGATAAACATTTCTGAACTTAATTTTTCATAATTTGTCGCTTTAGCAAAACCATAAAAAACTTTGCTAAATATCATGAAATATTCTAGTATGATTATTTGCCATACTGATCATCTTCAGTTATCCTTTTTTCTTTAGTTTAATTTCTATCCAGTTTTAGGAAAAGAACCTTTATGTCATTGTGGATTTGTATCCTGCACTGTGTCCCTGTTTCAGAGCAGGGTTCAGTGAGGACCATGTCGAAGTTCTTAGAGAAGTTCACCCAAGAACCGATGTTGCGCAAACTGCATGTTCTGATTGTATCTACTTCTGAATGGCCTTTTTTGTTTCCTTGCATTTATTTTCCAGCTCTGTTACTTTCCCAAGGGAAGGGGTCACTTGTCTGCATTGTGCCACATGGACAATAAATGTTAGTCAATCTCACATTTCTCTGTATTTTCCAGCTTTACCAGCAAGGCCGGCTTTGCCAGCTGGGAGGGGAGTTCTGTGAGCTTGAGGTCTTTGCCAAAGTCCTCCGAGCCTCTGACAAAAGGTATTGGACAGTGGGACAGAGATCTGTTTTGTTTGTCAGTACAGGGTAGGAATGGAGTATAGGGCTTATTTCAGTGAGTGTTAGAACATGATGATGATGATGACTGTATGAGATATGGAAGGTTCATTATTACACATTCAGGCTAAACATTTTGAATGTTGTTACATTTTATTTTGTAGAAATCTTCATTTCCTTTACTTTTTATTTTGGCTTTCTTCTTCCGGATCCTTCATTTTACCCAAAAAATTCAGTATAGATATTTTGTTATTTATAGTAAATGAGTATGACCAATGAAAGTTGAGGCATTTTTCAGAAACATGGAGTTTTCTTCTTCTTATGTTGTTGTTTTTTGTTTGTCTGCTGAGAACTTGGCCTTTGTTCCTTGAACTGCCTCTGAGATTTCTTTACCTGTGTCCTCTCAGGCACCTCCTACACCACTGTTTCCAGGCACTAATGGACCACGGCGTGAAAGTGGCTTCAATCCTGGCCAACTCCTTCAGCCGTAGATGCTCGTACATTGCCGAGTCAGACGCTCATGTTAAAGAGAAAGCCATCCAATTTGGCTTTGTTTTAGGTCAGCAGCTGTGCTGTCGTTTTTTCTTTTTATTGTTGATGGTTGACTGAAAGTGGTAGTAATGTCTCAGTTTTCCTGTCAGGTGGCTTTCTGTCAGATGCCGGATGGTACGGGGACGCAGAGAAAGTCTTCCTCTCGTGTCTCCAATTGTGTATGTTACATGATGAGATTCTGCACTGGTATCGTGCACTGGAGTGCTGTGTGAGGTGAGGCTAAATATTCTTCCTGCTGTATGGTAGAGACAGCGATAAAGAAAATACTACCACCTAGCTGTAGTTTTGACACAACTATTTTTACAGTAAAAGCTCAAGGTGTCAATTACTCTCCTGCTTTAGCTGGAGCTCTGAATTAAGCTTGTGACTAAATCAGCTCTGAATTGGATGACTTCATATTTGATGACTGCAATTGCTCGGTGATAAATTATACCTCGCCAAGCCACGTCACCGATCCTTTTTTATTGTACCTCCTGTTTGGATTGTGTCAGGTTGCTTCACGTGCGCAATGGCAACTGCAAATATCACCTGGGAGAGGAGACGTTCAAATTGGCCCAGTCGTACATGGACAAGTTAGCCAAACACGGTCACCATGCCAACAAGGCTGCACTTTATGGAGAACTGTGCGCTCTGCTCTTTGCCAAAAGCCACTATGATGAGGTGAGGAGCTGAATGCCCAGGCCTGATCTATTGGACATTTAGAATAAGTGTAACTTACTATATGTTGACATATGTGCTCCTTGGTGTTTCAGGCATACCGCTGGTGTATAGAGGCCATGAAGGAGATCACTGTTGGCCTTCCTGTGAAGGTGGTGGTTGATGTCCTGAGACAAGCCTCTAAGGTATTTCTTTAGCACTGTGGAGTGGTCATGTTTGGTTCTCCACAATCAGCTGACCTTTGATTTATAAATGAAAACTGTATGGACTAGCATAACTATATCTCTAAACAGACTTAAGATGAATTTAGACTGTGCAGTGACTCATTTTGTTACAAATGCTTCTCCTGCAGGCATGTGTTGTTAAAAGGGAGTTCAGGAAAGCTGAGCAGCTGATAAAACATGCAGTATTTCTAGCACGGTAAGCTATCTCTGACCAATGAGTTGACGCCATCTATGTTCCATACTGTTTTATTATGTTAAGTATATTTATTTAAAATAGCCAGCATCATATTATTAGCGTTACTTTGAACTTGTCTATAATAATTTAATAATAACTACAGTAGTATGTGCTGCAGTGCATTTCATAAATGTTTCTATCCAACAGATCAGCAAGCATCACACTCAGTCTTTCCTGCTTATTCATACACATACACACGAACACTAGGGGTGTAACTATACAGTGTATTATATGATATGAGGCTCTCGGTTCGATGCATCTGTATATTGAACAATACATTCGACAGACTGCAGGATAAAGCAGGCCATTTGTGCAAAAATATTGCTTATATTATGTGAGGTGTAATGAACATTTAAATTTAAGCAAGTCCATACTCTATCTCCTGAAAAGGGAGCTTCCTCTTTATTTGGATACACTGGGATAGGCTACAGGGTTAAAAACATGTCTAGAGCTACAGAGAGCTGACTTTGACAGCACAACTAGCTAACATCAGAATATGAAATAAGAAGCCCTGTGCTTCTGACCTACCCCCTTGAGTTACACCAGTGAAAGCTTGACCAGAGAGCTAATGTTTAATTTTTGTTAGACTGAAATGCACAGCGTTTGTTTCATTATACACTGCTAAGAGTTTGAATAGATCACACAAACAATGTGTCATTAAGTTTCAGTTATTGCGCTTTTATAATGTTTAATGTATTAATCAGCTGAAAGTGGGAACCTAAGACACATACTGTACTCAGGCAGTGCTTATTTTTGCTGAAATTTAAAAAAAAAAAAAAAATCAAAATTGCATACAGACACCACTGTTATTTTATTGAATTTGAATTGTGTAAGTGTTACACTTCTAACAAACGCATCCAAGTTTTAATTTACTGATAAGATGTGTTGAAAACTTAATTTACTGGTTTAATCTGATGCACTAAATGGGTCCCTGGAGGGCTAGTGATTAGGCCATGGTGCTCTCACTGCAGCAGCCTGGGTTGGATTCCTGGCCAGGGAACCATGTTGATTTGAAAGCCATGTTGATTTGACATCCCTCCGTAAACAGGGAAGGAACTTGGAGTTGAGGAGAATACCCCAAGTTGAGGAGTAGGAATTTCAACTCGAGGGGTGTTTTCTTTGGTTTTTACTCGTTGGAGTTTGGGAAGTTGCGACCTCGAGTTGAATGCAGCAGTAGCTAAAACATTTTCTACTTGTGTTCCATATGACAGGAAGAGCCCCCAAGGGAGCGAAATTACTGATGCAGTGGCATTTCATATAGCAAAAGACATGGTGCTCATTTACTCTGTCAAGAAAGAAGGGTTCGTTAAGTTGTGCAAAAATAGTAACAGCACCATCAATAGCAAATAGTGCAAACAATGTTTTTTTTTAAATATATATTCTTTATTTAAAAGAAACTTTGTTTGCTATAGATGGTGCTGTTACTATTTTTGTACAGCTACATTTTCCAAAGTCCTTTCTAATTAAAAAAAAAAAATTTGTTTGAAATAAATTGCATCATTCTTTCAATTGCATTATGTAAGAACTAAAAAAAATGTAAATCATAATCGAGAATCATTCATAAGATTTTTTTTTCAGCAGTATTGTCTAGCTTCTTTGTGTATGCTTATATATTATAAAATTTATAGCAGCATTCTGCATCTGGATTTTCAGTGATCCATGATGTTAAAAGTATATATTTATATTCTGACATCCTCCATCTTAGTAGATTTTCTTTGTCTGCCTCATTTTTAGCGATTTTCTTGCTTTCAGGAAAGCACATGTGGAATTTTTACAGTGCAGAATAGACATGATCAGCACCCCCTAAGCATTATTTGTACATTATGTATGCAGCTCATAATAAGTAATAAAATGCCTTTACATTTAGTGGTTTGACAAGTACTCTTATAATTTTTACAGATTCACTACTAAACAAATTTATACTCGGCATTCAATGAGGAAATAGCAACTGCAGTTTGCCCGTATGTTGGCAAGCCCTGCTTTAACTGGAGTGTTGTTTTTGTTTTTGTTTGTTTTGTTTTTTTGCCATTTTCACATTAATAATCCTGTAGGGCACATTCTTTTACTGATGCATGAATGCATTTTTTTTTTTCAGGGAACATTTTGGACACAAGCACCCAAAGTACTCTGATACGCTGCTAGATTATGGATTTTATCTTCTAAATGTGGATAACATTTGCCAGTCTGTTGCCATATATCAGGTGGGTTCAGAGTTGTTTTCTTGACAATCGTCACACACTTAGGGAAAGCTCTTTTATTGGTTATTAATCACATTGATTTTTTTTGTGTGTGTGTGTGTGGCTGTGTTGTCAGACTGCCCTGGATATTCGGCAGTCTGTGTTTGGAGGGAAAAATATCCATGTGGCCACAGCACACGAGGACCTAGCATACTCCTCTTATGTGCACCAGTACAGCTCTGGAAAATTTGACAATGCACTGTGAGTAAGGCTTTCTATTCCTGGACCTAATAATTGGCTATTTGGCTAGACAGAGGTACCAGATACTGACTGAGATCTGATTTTTTGGAAATCAGCAGGGGGTATTGTTAATTTTCTCACATTTTCTGCTCCTAGGAAAGTCTTTTCATATTTGGTAGGCCAGAGGCAAAAGAGCAAGAATGTCCCAGCACAAAGAGAGAAACCATGCAAACAGATTTAATTCGAGGGAAATACCATTTCGCTGCCAAGTATAGCTGTTCACAAGATAGGAGGATACTTGCAATAAAATCACAATTTTAGTTATAAACAATCTCATTCCTTTGGGATTTTTCAATGGCTCTTGAAGTGTTTTTGATTGTCAGACATGTGAACACAGACCTCTGCTTGCTGTTCTACCCTTTAACACGGTTAAATTGTTCTGTCAGAAAGGGGACGCCTTTATTTTTATTCACAGAACAGTTTATTCAATAAGATAAAGTTCCCAGTTGATGCGTCATGTTTCTTAGTGGTCTTACTCAAGACTTGTGTTGTGTTTAGATTTCATGCAGAACGGGCCATAGACATCATAACTCACATTCTCCCTGAGGATCATCTACTACTGGCCTCCTCCAAGAGGGTGAAAGGTGAGAGCCTCACTCAACAACATTTATAACTCCTTCAAAGTGGGATCTCCGTAAAGAGAAGAGATGAGAAAAGCTAAAAGAACCTTTTAGAGTGGCCTTGTCCTTGTGGTTCTGTTGGTTTTCCTCTTGTGTTGGAAACGTAGCACTTATTTCACTCCATTAGTTTCAGCAGTTTTATTCATATTGCTTGTGTGTGTGTGTGTGTGTGTGTTAATTATCCTTCACTAGCACTGATCCTGGAAGAAATTGCCATAGACTGCCATAATAAAGAAACAGAAGAGCGCCTTCTGCAGGAGGCCCACGACCTCCACCTCTCCTCCCTCCAGCTGGCCAAAAAAGCCTTTGGAGAGTTTAACGTCCAGACAGCGAAACATTACGGCAACCTGGGCCGTCTCTACCAGTCGATGCGCAAATTCAAGGTTAGATGATTTAATTTTTTTCTTTCATTAAGTCAGGCTACTTTAATCCAGATTAATAAATGATAAAGAATCCCTCATGACAGGTGTTTAATATGATCACCTATGGGTTAGAAAGCAAATCAATGACAACAGCTCCCAGTTGGTTTTGATTTTAATGGTATAGTGTCACATAATTGGACTAAGGTATATCTGATGTTTTCATTAAAGAAAACATTGTCATTTTCCCTCAAACTAAAGTCAGTTTGAGGTTAACATTTTCCTAAAGAGTGAACAGACCCCTGTAAGGTGGTGTTGTATTGCAGGAGGCTGAGGAGATGCACATCAAGGCCATCCAGATCAAAGAGCAGTTACTGGGACAGGAGGACTATGAGGTAGCTCTGTCTGTGGGACACCTAGCCTCCCTTTACAACTACGACATGAACCAGTATGATGACGCTGAACGGCTCTACCTCCGCTCCATCGCCATTGGTGAGCCCAACATAAATGTACATACATACCTGTCCAAAGCTCATGCCGTCAGGGTCATGAAGGGCCTTTGTTAAAGAGCATTGTCCCTCCCAAGTGGCACAACAGAAAGTATTCGGCATGTCATCTGGAGATCACAAGTATAAATCCCAGTGATTCCATGGCCATAAAGAGAGCAAAATTGGCTGTGCTTTCTGGGTGGGAGGGATGGTGTGGATGCTTTGTTTTCTGTCAGTCAGAGCTGCACTAGCCAATTGTGAGGGTCTGTGAGTTCATATATGCAAAACAAGGGACATAATGCTTTCCTCTGAGCATGTTTTGCTGTCCTGTAACACTGTGAGCAGAAGTTTGAAAAGATTTGGTTGGCTGGCTTTGCGTGTCTCTGAGGAAGCTCACCCTTTCCTGTCATATGGTATGGGAGATCTGGATAGTGGGTGGAAATTGGCAGGTGTCCAAATTGAGGAGAAAATGGAGGGGAAATAAAAAGAAGAGCAGTGTCAACCATTTTACATCTACAAAGCTACATTTGGATTTAAAATTTACAGAAATAAACTGTACCCCAGTGCTTCCTCATGGGCTCTGCCATTTAAAGCCTTTTACTTTTGAGTATATAAAGAAGCAAACAAGCTTCTTTATAGCAAACCATGCACCTGCTAGTTCAAAGTGTCAACCCAGAGTTGATCATGAGAATAGGATAAATGGTTGATTAGGATTTGTTGGTTGAGATTGTGAAAGTGGGATCCATCCATATGACTGTATGATACTACACTGTTGTGTTGTGTCAGCCAGTGGACCATATAATCATGCTTAAAGCTATGACCTGCATTGCATAATTAGTATAAGGCTAATATCTGTGACATAGTCTGACTTAGATGTCTGTTTGGAGATACAGTATTGAGATGTGTTGGTTTGTTTTTTTGGTTGTCCAGCTGGAATCCTAATGGCCTTTAGATTTGTTATAATTTTAGCATGTGCCTTGTATATTTCTATAGGTAAGAAGCTGTTTGGAGAGGGCTACAGTGGACTGGAGTATGATTACAGAGGCTTGATCAAGCTTTACAACTCTGTGGGGAATTACGAGAAAGTGTTTGAGTACCACAACATCCTGTCCAACTGGAACCGTTTGAGGGACAGGCAGTTTGCAGTGGCCGACGCCCTAGAGGACGTCAACACCAGCCCCCAGGCCACAGACGAAGTGGTGCAGTCCTTCCTGCTGTCAAACAGCCACGCTGTGGGACGTTCCTGTATGGGTTAAATTACAGGACCTTGTGGTCTTCATTCCACGCACCTACACTCACCTGCATTCTCACACATCCTCATCTGGATTTATTCACACCTAATCACACACAGCAGCGAGAGGGACTGGATCCTAAAGCTGCAAGGTCACCCATGTAAGCAGGTCCCACAGTCCTGTTATTCACATGAGCCCTGGTGAAGAGACATGACATCTCTACCAATGCAATCAGAACTCTTCTGGTGGAAAAGCAGCCTTCTGATGGCACCAAGTTCACGTTCCTGTAAAGGATTTTTAGATTTCAGAGGACCTGATTATTTATCTGACTTGCTAAAAAAAAAAATGAGAGAAAAATAGGCAGAAAAACAGAAAGCAGCCTATTAGTTTTACAGATTGAAATATAAAATGCCGTTTTTTTTTTTGTTTGTTTGTTTGTTTGTTTTTTTGGGGGGGGGTTGGGGCTAGGGTGGGCTGCTATCTGAAGTATTGCGCCACACATATATACTGTGGCTGCACTCCTAATGCTAGGACAGCATGCACGCTGAGGCAGGCTGGACAGAGAGACCCATCACTTTCTTGGGACAAGTGAAGGACAGACACGCACCACATATGCTTGTGTTTAAGTTCTTTATGAAGTTTGCCACTTCTCCACGCAATGCAGAGCCCTGCATTAATGATTACCCATTTGTTCTGTTTTGGCAAGTATGTGTTTGGAAACCTGTGTTACATTTTAATCGTTTCTGGGGTTTTTTTCCTTTCATGCCATGATGAGAGGAATGGACGTTATGGACCAGTGGATTTATTATTGCTTTTCATGCAGT